TGACAGCAGCACTGCCCTTCCTGTAGTGACAGCAGCACTGCCCTTCCCGAGGTTGCTTCCTCCAGCTTCTTCTCAGGTTCTCATTCTGGGCGTCCCATAAACGTGGGCAGTGGCGACAGGCTGCCATGTTGTTCTCGGGACAAGAGACAGTTGTCACCACAACCCTGTCCACACCTCTTCCTCCTAGTGGGGAGGCTACACTATTCCCAGGCATCTCCTGCTAAAGTGACTGGAAGTCTTGTGGTGTCTACCTTGCGGATAGCTTCTTTGTCTGTCCCCACATGCTAGACTGTTCCTAGCTGACTCCTCAGGTTCATTCCAGGACTAATCATCTGTTGAAATGGTTTATTTTTAAATTTTATTTTGAAGGTCTTACTCTGTAGACCGGGCTGGCCTGGAACTCACAGATGTCTGCCTGCTCTGCCTCCCAAGTGCAGGATTACAGACCCTACATGATTTTATTTTTCTATTGTAAAATATAGACAACTTAGAAGTCACCATGTTAACCATTTTGTTTTATTTTTTATATTTATTTATTTATTTATGTGTGTGTGTGTGTGTCTGTGTCTGTTCGTCCATCCATGCCACAACACATGTGGGGTTCATAGATACGAGTGGGAGATGGGTCTCCCCTTCTATGTGGGTTCTGAGGGTGTTGAACTCAGACTATCAAGCTTGCTAGCAGGTGCCTATTCCCACCGAGCCATCTCACCAGCCCTATTTTATTTTTATTATTTATTTTTAAGGTTGTTCTGAGACAGGGTTTTAGTATATAATCCAGTCTGTCCTTGAACTCACGCTCCTTCTGCATACTGGGGTCCTAAGTGCGCACTGCCATACCCAGCAGCCATTCTCAAACATATAAGCCAATGATATTAGTTACACCACAGCGAGCTGCTTCCCGGTGGATACTGGCATCACTGCAGGTAGCACTGTGTCCTGAGCAGCTCCCACCCTGCCTCTCACAGCTCCTCTGATACACCTGCCTTCACAGATGTGTGCATTTCAGACTTCCGGGAATGGAGTCACGCAGCATGTGGGCTTTGTGCTTCTCTCACGGGCACAGCACTGTTAAAACTCATCCCTGTTATAGCATTCCAGTTTTTTTGGTTAAAAAATTATGTAGAGCCTTTAGCAATGGCTCAGTGGTTAAGAGCATGAAGCGTTCTTCTGGAGGACCCAGGCTCAATCCTCATCCACATGACAGCTCACAACCACCTATAACTCCATTGCTAGGGAGTCCTACGCCCTTTTCTGGCCTCTGGGGACACTGTACACACATAGTGCACAGACATATACACCGGTCAAACACCCATACACAAACACACAAGTAAGTAGTTAAATATTAATTTTATGTATGTACATGAGAAGTCATAAGAGGATGTCTGATCCCCTGGAAATGGAGTTACAGATGTTTGGGAGCTGCTGTGCGGGTGCTGGGGTCAAGCCCAGCTCTTCCGCAAGAGCAGCTAGTGTTTTAGCGGCTGAGCTGTCTCGCCAGCCTTGTGCTTCCTTTCAAATTCCATTGGCCACAGTGCAACAGGAGTGAGGCGTGACTCATCACTGAAGACATTTGTCACAATTTTAATGAAAAACTAAATGAATTATTTGAGCTGAAAATTGAAGTCTGCACTGGCCGTCACCACCAGCCACGGTGCTTTTTCCAGGGCTAATCAGTCTGCTGCACTTCCTTCTAGAACATCTGCTAGATTTAAACACAGTCAGGCCTTCAGCATTTTCTGCACAAGATTTTGTACTGTCGTTTCCCAAGAATAAACCTGATTGTGTAGCTCTCCTCTGGAAGCTGCCGTGACCCTGGCTTACAGAGAACACGTACGCACCCCACATCAGAGCCACGAAGACTCTTTCCTCAAACAGGGAGCTGTCCCCACTTGCATGCCTGAGGTCCCTGTGGGCTGTGTAGCCTCCCACATTTTCTTTCTCCAGAGGCCCTGTTACAGCCACTGTGAACAGTCCCCGGTGTCACAGCAGTGTCAGATGACTGGGACAAAGTCCATGCTCCACCGAAGGACACGGGCTCTCTGTCATTCGAGAAGCTTCAGCTAACTAAAATGCAGCCCTAAGCGTTCACACGGCAGGGAATGGCAGCTCGGAGCTCACAGTGGGAGAGCGGCTCTCAGCACTGGAGAGGTGTCAGGTTAAACACAGAGAAGACAGAGCACTTAGCTCTGTACTATTAACATGCATAATGACCCAAAAAGTTTGCTCAGAGTTTCCGGGCTGTATAAAGTTTAAGAGAACTTGATGGATCAGGGTCTCTAGCAGATTAGATTTGATTTTAATTGAATTGTGTCGCTAATTTAGGCTCCAACCTTAAATAGAAATCATTTTAGTTTTATAAACAGTGTTAGAAATACTTACGAAAACTTAAGGTTTACCATATTTATAGATACATTTATTAGATTTATAGGAATTACTCAGTATTGGTAAGAAATTTGTTTCTTACTTAAACCACAAAAAAATCTTGACTGTAAAACTGGATATATTATATTTCCACACCCATCTTAATTTTTTTTTAAGGTTAATAGCTAAATTTGTGTAGCTGTACATTAATCAAAGCTACATAAAGGTGACTGCAAACAATATGCCCCATTTATAAAGCAAGTAGGGTTTGAGACAGTGGCCTCTTAGGTAGTCTAGGGCGACCTGGAATTCACTGTGCAGCCCAGACTAGCCAGATGTTCAGGATCGTCTTGTCCCAGCCTCCAACTGCTGGGCTTACCGATGTTTACCGCCACACCCAGCTAACCTTTTGCTATGGTCATAGCTGCAGTAGGAGGGACTGAGCCTGGGGTCACACACATGCTCTGTGGGTCCTCCATCACTGAACTCCCTTTCCCTGAGTAAGACTTTTAAGTTGAACAAAATCCTTAAGAAAAAATAATGTTTTTCTTTAATTTGTCACTTTAATAAAGAGAATATTAATTCTAAGACCAGAAAAAGACTCTGGATAATCTTTTATGGGCCATAAGTTATCAGGTCGAATATCATAAAACTCAAACCAGGCACCAAGCTGTAGGCGGACTTTCTCTGTCCCACCAGCTGCTTCCCAAATAACCTACGCAGAGACTAATTATTAATTATAAATGCTCAGTGGATAGCTTAGGCTTGTTGCTAACTCTTACATCTGAAATTAACCCACATTTCTTATCTACATTCTACCATGTGGTGGTACCTTTTCTCAGTATGGCATGTTCATCTCCTTCTTCCTCTGCACCTGGCTGCTGACTCCACCCTTCTTCCCTGAGTCTTCCCTGCCCTCAAAATCCTGCCTAGCTATTGACTATTCAGGTTGTTATTAAGTCAATCTGAGTGACAAATCTTCACAGTGTACAAAGGGATTATACCACAGCACCAAGCTGGGCTACAACAGTGCTCTGATCTAGCTGGGAGCCCATGTCATAAACGAGAAAGCAGTGGTGGGTCTTGCCATGAAGGCTACTGTCCACAGAGGCTTCCAAGAAGAGGCACTGCTAACGATGCCCCTTCTGTTCATAGATTTTTGCAGACATCTGATGTGGGATGTCCTTCTGTATATGTGTTTCTTTTATTGGCTAATGAATAAAGCTGTTTTGGCCTATAGCAGGGCAGAATATAGCTAGGCTGGTATATATATATATATATATATATATGTATATATATATATATAT